GGGGTCAGAACCACTGGCTGCGCTGGCCTCTGCCCGCGGAGCAAGTTTCCGTGCGCGAGGTTCTGCTCATTCTGGCAAGGATGCAGAAAGTTCATTGGCGCTCGTGTTTGCGCGCCTCGGTTCTAGCTCAGCTTGGTAAGGAGTGTCTGCTGGCAGCGGGGCCCCGCCCTCGGACTGAATTCAGGGCTTTCTCAGCGTGCGAACAGAGGTCTGCTCCTCTCTCCGCCGTTGTGGCGGTTTGCTGCTGGGCGAGGGGTGATGAGCAGAGTTCCATCTGCGTGCCCAGGGAGCTCGGGAATTGAAAATTGCAGGCTGTTCGGGTAGAAAACCGGGTAACGCGAGGAGGAACAGCGTGAGCTGAGCCTCCAAGCCTCCTGTATTTGGGTTGTGTGACGAGGTAAATGGAACAGATTGGTGTCTGCCCTGGGACAGAAGGAAAGAAGGTCGGCTGTGTGCTGCCCTCTCTTGAAAGAAGTAAAATCCGGGAACATACGTGCTTGCGGGACGGGGAGGGGAAGACGAACGATTGCATCTCTCTCCTGTGAGGCATCTAGCCTCCTGTAGCTGGTGAGGACTCTCCGGGATGGCTGCGTGCATGTAAGGAAGGTCCCGAATAACGGCACCAATGCACGTAGTGTTTTCTGAAGACGTTCGTGGGTGCAGCTCTTGGGTGTTTTCCTGCCGACAGCCACCACCCAAGTGGTTCTGGCTCTGAGTGTGTGCTGCAACGCAGAGCCAGTTGCGCCTGATACTTAATGCAACGGTGAGCCCTAAAGTTACCCTGTGACCCCCTGCGTATCCGATCACGGTCCTGTGCCAGCAGACCTTTCCAGGAGGATGCTGTTCCTAGTAAGTGAGTGCGCAGAACTGTGTGCTCTTAAACTTGCCTCTCCAGTCCTACGTCTCGGTTTCACCGTCTGTAAATGGAAATAGCTCCGAGCTGGCTCGTGGTACGAGCACCTGTCGGGCTCCGTGGCTGACGCTTGTGCAGCGTTTGGAGGTCCCTGCGTGACTACGGTAGCGAAGAGCAGGCCCTCCCTTTACCTGCTGTTGTAGAGCTGGGTCTGCGTTGCCCCAGGCCTGCAGCGCAGGCAGCGTCACTCTCTTTCTCGGACCTCATGCCATTTTTCTTGTTGTTGCACAGTGGTTTGAGCCTTCCCAGTTTGGGACTTGGTGGGCAATCCTGTCTACAAGCATGAACTTGGCTGGAGGCTTGGGCCCCATTGTCGCTGCTCTCGTGTCTCTGAACTACGACTGGCGCATGACGCTGTCCTTTTCTGGCTTCATCTGCGTGGTTGTCTCTTTTGTTTGCCTTGTCCTGATTAAAAACGAGCCGTCGGATGTCGGGCTACCCAACATTGACCAAGGAGCCAAGAAAGGGAAGAAAGGTGAGCGCAAGACCTCACTGTAAGCGGGCAGCCGTGGGAGATGGGGCGGTGCCTTCTGCCTGTGTTTTGGTGCAAACGTGTCGTGCTCAGTGTACAGACCCCCTTGTCGGGGGGGTCTGGAGAGAGGGAAAACGTAACGGCAGGGAATGCTTCCTTAAGCCTGGCCTGTCTGTCCTTCGTGTTACCAGAGGACAGGCGGCTCTCCCCTCAGCCAGCCGTGGGTTCTCTTGACCCCTGGCTTGCAGTGGACTCTGCTCAGTGCTTCCTGTCCTAGCCTAGGGCATCGAGTTAGTAAATGTTTATTTAAGACTGCTGAGTGGTGCTCCTCTGAAAGCAGAACAGGTAGAGGGGAGTTGCAACAGAGGCTTGCTGTAGGATTTGAAAGGCCGGTGGAAACTCAGCCTGCCGCCCGCACTGTCCTGCGATGCCTGTGCTGCTAGGCTTGACCTCTTTGTGTACAAAGCCGATACTGCTTCCCCAGAGCATTCTCTGGGGATGGTAGGTTTGTAGGCCGCCTTGGATGGCTGACGCAAAAGTAAAGGTAGCCCCTGAAAGTCGGCATCTTTGTTTGGGTCTCTGCAGTGCCTTTCACAGGCAGAGCTTAAAAGCGTTAGCACAAAATGTGGAGAAGCAGATCTTTTTTCTGACAACCTTTGTGAAGAGTTTATTGGCAACTGCAGTGGAGAGAATTACTGGGAGTAGTGTTTTGATTATTCTTTTGAAATGTTTAATGAACGTGGAATAAATTGACAGAGAAGATTCTGAAATCACATCAAAACCAGAAGAAGGGGGAGGTGAAGCCATTCACTGCCGGCAGCTGTGAATACCTCCCTCTGTAAGGATGTCCTTACGCGTGAATCCTGATTGCAGATGTGTGCCGCTGAGTCAAGGTGGTTCAGGAGCTGTGCTCACGCAGTGCTGACGTTCCTTCTGATCTTCCTTACAGGTTCCTCCAGCGACAACAGCACTTTGACGGAGCTGCTGCTCTCACCATACCTCTGGGTGCTCTCAACAGGCTACCTGGTCGTTTTTGGAGTGAAAACGTGCTGTACTGACTGGGGACAGCTCTTCCTGATCCAGGAGAGGGGACAGTCCATGCTTGTGGGTAAGATGCAAAGCTGCGTGCTTGCCTGCTTGCCTCCTGCCCGTCCGGTCAGATACACGTAGTTACTGGAATAACTCGGTGATCAAGTTGCTGCGTGCGCCGCGTGCCCCTGTGTCTTGACCCAGGGCCCTCCTGGGACTGGCCGACGAGCATTCCTGTACCAGAATGAGCCGAAGGGCCTTGTCCAGCATCGCTGCTCTGTGCTCGTGCTGAGCTGGAGGCAGTTCAGCTCGGTCTAAAGTGTGCAGCAGCTTTGCTGCGGTGACTGCACCTGATGGCCTGTTCTTTGCTTCACCTGTGTTCTAGGTAGCTCCTACATGAGTGCCTTGGAGATTGGGGGCCTGGTGGGAAGCATTGCTGCTGGATACCTTTCTGACAGAGCAGTAGCAAGAGTAAGTACTCTGGACCCTCAGGTGTGCTGGGCAGTCGACACAGCGTCGATTTGAGCCGCTTCAGATTTTTTACATTTGTTTTTGGCTTCTTTCGTGAGCGCTTAGAGATGACTCCCTTCCCCCCCCCACCCCCCGCACAATACAGAGGCAGGGAGCTGCTGCCTCACGCTAGGAAACAGCCGTTCTCAGTACCGTGTTTCTTTTTGCTGTCTTCCCACGCTCTGCTTTTGGATGCAGTTCTGTGTCTAAACTACCCTGCTTGAGGTAGGTGGGGAGGGACACGACCCATCTCAACAGCTCGGCTGAGGCGCTCAGTCAGGGTGGTGTTGCCGCTGCGTGGTACAGCTGAGAAACAGGCCCATACGCAGTTCTGCTGCGCGCACGAGGGCAACTGCTGAACACCCTAGAAGGTGCTGGGAAATACGTGTGTTGATGTTAGGGATTGCGGTACGCCTGTCGGCTTTAAGATGCTTGGTCTGTTTAATTTGTTGGCTTTACTGTGCTCTCCAGATTTCTGTGTTGAAAGAGATCTGGTTGTTGACAATTGTCTTCTGGCTGAAAAAGAAAAAAGCCGCACGTTAAAATCCAGTGGTGAGATCTGAAGCCAAATTCAGGGTGGCAGTAGGGGGCAGTTGATAACAGAAGCGTCACTCATCACTAAGAGCTGCTTCTTTAGCACACTTTCACTGCAGGCAGTCCCTAAACCAAACCGAGAAGTCTGGCTAAGAGGTGTGCTTTCGATGCGCCGTCCGTGTTTCTGACGGGGCTGCATGGATGGCGTTAGTTACTACAAATATATAAAACGGACGGGGTCCTTCCAGTTTCTGGCCCTCAGTTTCCCTTCCTGTGTTCCAGGTGGGTCTGTCAAGCTACGGGAATCCTCGGCACACACTGCTGCTTTCCATGATGGCCGGGATGTGTGTGTCCATGTTTCTCTTCCGCGTCACGGTCACCGGCGATTCTCCCAAGGTAAGCCATGCACGAGAGCAGCTGGCCGTAAGTTGTTGGGATAGCCCTTTAACGGTGAGGAGTTTGATGGTGGGGAGCGTGACTGTTTTCTTCACCCTTCCCGAGAACTGCAAGTCTGCATTTTCTGTGTTTACCCTGCAGAGAAGGTTAACTTTGTCTGGTTTACACTGCTTCTGCTGCCCGAGTTGGCTTGGGTAGCCTGCGTTGCCGGCTGTAGCGTAGACTTGACTTGCATCTGCCCTAATGGTTGCTAAATAAACAAAACCTCTTTTCTCCTTTCCTTTTTTTCTTCTTCAGGAAAGTCACTTCTGGACTGTAGCCTTGCAGCCTCTAGCTGACCTTACAGGCCTAAAAGAACATGAGGTTTCTGCCTTGCGTTTTTTCTCCCTCTGCCTGTTTCTGCTTTCGCTGATCTGCCTTTTTCCTTTCCTGGGAGGTTGGTTAGCACTCGAGAGCTTAGAGCCAGGGCATTGAGAAGATTACTGTAAGTTCTGCAAAATAAACCTTTTCTGATAATCATTCGGTTACACAAACTGACTTTAGAAGTCTGAATACAAAATTTTTAATTCTTCGGTAGAGCGTTCTGAGGATGTTTGTTCATCAGGTAAAACGCAGCCAGTTAAGGGATCTTGTGAGCGGGGTCAGGAGGAAAGACTCTGTTCCTGCAGATGCCTTCCTGCTTAAGCTCGGCAAGTGTTTTCCTAACTCTCTGTTTGTGTTTCCCATCCGGACAACAAGATGCCATTTACTTCCTGCTAGGCTTCTCAAAGCGGTGTTTAGAGTTCAAAAAGCGTGCTGTAATCTCGAGGTGGTCAGGTTGCTTACCCTTTGTTGTCCTTTCACAAGTGACTGACAAACTCAGGGCCAGGTAGTTTTCTTGGAGCGTAAGCTAACACCAAAGTTCAGGCTGTTGGGGTTTTTTGGGTTTGTTTCTGTGCTTTTTTAGCAGCATAGAGGTTATCAGATAGTGGGTGCTTGCAAACAAAGATGCTCCGATCAGTCACTTTTATCTAGAACAAGAAAGGCTTTTTGTTGTTGTCTCCAGGATCATCTTTAAAAGCGACTCGATTCCCAGCTCGCTGTTGTGATTTCATGGGCTCGCTGCCCATCTCTCTCGCAGGAGTTCTGGTTCTTTCTTGCGAAACAGCATGTATCGTGTGTGTGCACGGTGTAGGGGACAGAGCTGCAGGAGAGAGGAGAGCCTGCGCTGGCTAGCAAGCCAGTGTGGCAGGGGGGCAGCTGGGCTGCGTGTACGTGGGGCCTGCCATGGGCTCGAGCTCTTCTGTCCGCAGGCCAGGGAGCTGGTGTCAGCCTGAAAATGTCAGAACCCCCTCGTACCGTGCCTAGGATCTGAGATTTGTCAGCAGCTGCTGACTGACAGTGGTGAGATGCACGGATCCTGTTTCTGATCTTAACTTATTTTGACAGCTGTGGATCCTGACTCTGGGAGCTGTGTTTGGGTTCTCCTCGTATGGGCCGATCGCCCTGTTCGGGGTTATAGCCAACGAAAGTGCCCCTGCCAACCTGTGCGGCACCTCCCACGCCATAGTGGCCCTCATGGCCAACAGTGAGTAATGCCCGTTTCCCCAAAAACCGAGAAAACCTCTTGTGTGTTCTTCACGGAATGTTACAGAGTGTTAGGGGTTGGAAGGGACCTCTGTGGGTCATGTAGTCCAACCCCCCAAGGGTGGGGTTGACAAGGCATGGTCTTAGCCCCTGGGTGCCAAGTCTCTGATCACGGGGAGGCCCCAGGGAGGCGGAGGTAATGGAGTCAGAAGCCTCGGGGATGCTTCCTGCTGTACCTGACAGGTTTGTGCCCTAAGTTTAAGCCAGGCCTGAGGAATCTTTATACATGCAAAAACAAGTATTGGCAGATAAAACTGAGACGCTGGAGTGTTGCTAGTGTTCTGTTTGTTCTTCCTTACAGTCGGGGGTTTTCTGGCTGGACTACCTTTCAGTACCATTGCCAAGCACTACAGCTGGGCCACGGCCTTCTGGGTAGCCGAAATCACCTGTATCACCAGCACAGTGGCTTTCTTCCTACTGCGGAACATCCGCACCAAGATGGGCCGGATTCCCAAGAAGGCTGACTGAGGGGAGGCTGCTTGGTGAAAAGGGTGCTCCCATGCTGATGCGAACGGTGCCTGGTTTTTGTTTAACTGGCCTAGGAGTGAGTTTACCTATTGCTGCAACCTAGATTAAAATGTCTCAATTTCTCGCCCACTGTCACGTGCCTGAGGGCACAAGGTTCCTGCTACTGATCACTTTTTCCCTCAAGATGTGATATTTCAGCTAGTTTACATTTGCAGTGATTTTACCGTACCTCCTTCTCCCGGCACTGTTGGTGAAGCAAGCAGGCGCCGCAGCCTGAGCTTCTCCACGGAAGGTACTCTGAAATGGCGGCTTCAGGCGCCATCACGTTTAGTTTGGTCCTTACTGCTCGTCTCGGCCATTAACTGTCAGTTCCGCCCTGTCGTTCAGGGGTGCCGAAGCGAGCCTTCGCCGCTGCGTTCATTCGTCCCGTCCAGCTGCTGTAAGCGGTGTGCGTAGGTGCGAGCTCCCTGCGCGCTCAGCCCTGGTGCAGCGACAACAGCGAACGATGGTTGCTGCAGCTCGGCCTCGCGGCAGACGTGAGCCGCGTGGCTTTAGCTTTGCCCGGGATGAGCTGCTGGGAGCCAGGGCGCTGTTTTGCTCTGGACAAGCGGAACACCGATGCGGTGCTGTGGCAGGGGTCTCTGCAGCGCTTAGAAATAGGCACGTTTCCAGGAAATTCTTTGCGCTTCAGGGGAGCGCGTTTAGAGCGGATCCTTCTGCTGTTACGATTCCTGCGTACAGTGTTAATGATTTGCAAGGGAGGCAGCTGCTGCCAAGTCAGCTTGTAGCGAGCGCTGCAAATCAGCCAGGAAAACTAACCCGGCAGCAGGCGTTGCGACAGCAGCTGCCCCCCGCCCC